ATTGAGCGTACAAGATAGGGTAGATTTAAAGGAATGCCTACTCGATACGGCCCAGAGTTCATGTGAAGTGACACATGCCTACATCTGAAGGTGTGAGTGTAAGGTATCTCATTTCGTCAGCCTTTCGTCCAAGTGACTCAATGGGTCGCCTCACTATTTAAGAAATGCTCAGTCCATGAATTCTACTTGTACCTGTAAAACACAAAGAATACCCTGCTGGGATATGGTGTTGTGTTACACTAGAGTCCCGCAGTTTACAGGTAAATCACACTTAATATCAGTATTGCAGCTTTTAGTTGAAAAAGTCATTCGACTGTGTCACAGATGCTTCTGACTGGATTCCTCAGTACCAACTATTATTACCTATGAATCTAAACGACAAATCATGCCAACTACTCGAATCACTCAAGATGGTTCAACTCCCCTAGTGAATATGACACTCCATAGGAGCCTCCACATGGGCAATATACATGCTAACCTCATGGCTGCCATCAACACGCAACTGGAAAATTCATCTCAGTGGCTGGACACTGTATCCATTCGACGAATTATCATCCAACTATATGCGAATAATATTACTCTTGAGGAGACACGTCAACTTCTGGATAAGCAGGCTTAACGGCTGTTCCATACAAGATGGTAACCATCCAAGCAGCAATACGTCTCCGGTCTCCCATCAAACTTAAACAACAAGAAGAGGCGTCGTATTTTATAAGCCCACATTCAAACGCCCTTCCACCGTTGGCGAAGAGATGCGAACACGGCAGTTGGTGGCATATGGAGAGACCCGTTTACATGTCAGCCTTCCGCTATAGGAGCCTTCGATGAATTCCGAATAGAAACCTTCACGCGCCCAGCCCTACCAGACACAAGAACGGTCCAGGAATACTTTCCAACTAATAAAGACCAGATCGCCCCAGTTTCAACTGAATAGATCAAATGGTCATCAAATCCGCGGCCATTGTTGACCGCATAACCGCTAGGGACCTCCAGAAAATTAACCACACTAGTCTGGCTGGGTATCCAAACACTTTTGCTGACGTCTTTTCTACCTTCACTCCTGTCAGCCTCCAGGGTCACCCTCATTCTTAAGACATCACACCCCGATAACCCTACTGACTTCCAGCCTATCTCCATAACTTCTGTCGTTACGCGCTGTCTGCACAAGATTATCACCAAGCGCTGGTCCAGATCATTCCCAATAAAAAAACTACAGTTTTCCTTCCTGCAGCGTGATGGCTGCTTCGAAGCGATCAATCTTCTTCGCGCCATCTTGAGAGAAGCGCACTCCAACTACACAAGTTGTGCATTAGCTATTCGCGACATTTCGAAAGTTTTCGATAGCGTCCTACGTCAAACAATTTTAAAAGTAGCTGAAAGTTTTGGTGCGCCCTCAACGCTTAGAGAATATCTTGCAAACTACTATTCCAAATTCTACAGTCTCTTCCACGAAGTGAAGTGTCATCCAACACGGGGGGTCGAAAAGGGTGACCCTCCGTCACCACTTCCTTTCATCAGGACTATGGATGAGATACTCAATGTTCTTGAAGCTCATGACCCCATCTACGTTGATGATCACCCTTTGCACTACATAGCATATGCCGATGATCTCATCATCCTACCTATCTAGGTGTTCCATTCAATTACAAAGGCAGGCGCTGCTTCGATCATGTGGGCATCCTCAATGGACACTTAGACAGCGTGAAACGCGCCCCCTTCAAACCTCATCAACGAATTAAAATCCTGAAGAACAACCTGATTCCTCGTCTACTCCACTCACTGACTCTCACCATCACTCACAAGAATACCCTGAAAACGATGGACAAACTTATTCGTGCAGCTGTCTACCGATGGCTTCGCCTCCCGAAGGACACTCCAACTGCATTTTTCCACGCTGATATCAAAAAGGGAGGCCTGGGAATCACGAATCTCTCAACAACGATTCCAAGCCATAGGCTCAAAAAACGAGGCACTGCTCATCAATAGGAATCCGCTCATACGCATAGCGTCCTCCGCCACCTTCATGCCTTTTCTTAGGATCTGCAATCTTCCGATGCAAGTTCACAGACAAGTGATAACATCAGCAGAAGAAGCATATGAAAGCTGGGCACAACAGCTACACTCATCAGCGGATGGTTATGGTTTGACGGAATCAACAGCATGTCCTGAATCTCACAAATGGCTTCTCAACCCTGAAATGGTCTTGCCCAAACTCTATGTACGGGTGGTTCAACTGCGTGGAAGTCTCTTGGGCACAAAACCGAGAAATGCGCGGGGATGTCCTGGAGTCGACATCAACTGTAGAGGCGGGTGTGGTTAACCAGAAAATCTTCAACATATTCTTCAGCACTGTGCTCTGATTCATGAGGTCAGATGCAAGAGACACAACGACGTCCTCAAGCTGATCCCCAACAAACTCCGCAAATCCAATGCCAGATTTTACATCGAGCTGCGTGTTCCAACACCCACGTCTTTCCGTCAACCAGATATGATTATCCTGTTAGACGGTGTGGCATACAATCTCGATGTAACAATCTGCAGTGACGCCTACATTTACATAAGCCATGCGTCGAAGATGTCAAAATACGGAGCTCCAACGATGTTTGCTGCATGTAGACGATTCCTGTCCACCATTGGACATACAGTTCAAAGAATCATGCAAATTCCTGTTGTAATCTCTTATCGAGGGATGATCAGTCAACTCTCTGCAAAATATCTTCGCAGACTCTTTTTCACCTCCTTCGACATTTCACGCCCCTGCATATCAACCATCCAAGACTTTTTGAAAATCTGTGATACTTACATGCGTGGAACGTATGGACTCAGACGTAGAAAAGAATTGAACCAGTGATATTTTAAGTTTATTGCTATATAGGAATACCTTTTTTCTACCGTTTACTTTACTACCATTTGGCGTAATTCACATGCGAGACACATTGTGACACTCATAAACATATATATACTCAATGAACCGATGATACTGTTATTCACCTCCTAAAATGCCTGATAACTTTGTTTATTCTATATATTCTAATTGTTCTATACTACATACACGTATAGAGCATATTTTCCCTATAATGTTCTTACGATATTAAATACTACTGCTACATTCAAATGTCGATGCTACCCCATGATTCATACATGCAAGCAACATTCATATGCTCAAAATTAGTGACTTGTATTACATTTGATGATTCTAGAAGCATAAATTATTAAAATTCATACTTTTTTACCAGTCACAAATATCTCACATCAACATATGACATAAACAGTCAATCACAATTACACATATGTGTACAAACACTTCTAACTGTCAGTGCTGCAGCTAAAGTACACATTATCGGGTTCAACATGTGCTGCTGTGCTAATTTTTCTACACTTCTATCTATTATTTTTGATAGCTTAATTGGCTAATTTACGTTGATATATTTATTTATCTTTACGGAGGTTACTTATGTTATTTAGGAATCATTATTTTCTACTTATTTTTCTATTGATGTTTTGTATTATTATAGTTTATTTTTTGTGTGTGTACTCAACTTAAATAATTTTTATTTAATATTCGAAAATAAATATGTTAAGCTAGGGATCGTGCACGAACGAACAAACGTGACACGACGGCGTACCATATGGTGTGGATGCCTGACTGCAGGCCTTCAGCTAAGCAAGTTGACTTACACAAAGAGGGTCAGCATCCAATATCCAGTGATGAATGCTGCGGCCAGTAGTTATGGGGAATTACCTACAGGACCCATAAAAAATAATAAAAACACATGGGCGTATAGACGGAACAACACTAGGTACCATATGAACAGAAACGCATTCTCGAACCCTCGTATTATTTACGTAAAGCCCCATCGCTATAACAGGTATAGATTGCCTCATAGCCCTCCCATGTAAACGCACGAAATGAGTCCACAAATGTATAACTATGAAAGACCTAGCACGCATTGCTCTCAAAACAACCTGAAAACGGGTACCTCGGCCCTGTGAATTACAATCTGAAAAGTGAAACAGACTATTTAATGCCGAGAATTGATTTCAGATACCCACGTAACGAGGCAAGGAACTAATATATGCAAAATGATTATTTTTCGCTGCATCAAACAACAGCCCCTCTCACAGCACAGTTCGTTCAGGGAATAATGGACACATTGACACATCTGAGAACCCTTCCGAACATAACACAGGCAACCGAGAGTTAGAGACAGTAACAAGAAAACCTACTAACTCTCCCACCAACAACCTCGGTTTTCTAAAAATTATTCTCTTAGATGCTCGATCTTTCCTTAACAAAACAACTTACCTCCACAGCTTGGTATACATGGAACGGCCAACGCTGATCTTAGTAACTGAAACTTGGCTAACTAGCGATATACCTGACACAAAGCTGATAATTGATAATTATGACATCCATAGGAATGATAGAGTGGACAAAAGAGGAGGCGAGTGTCTAATATATGCTTCTGAATCAGCTGACTCCAATACTTTCACAAACCTAACTATCGACATACTCCCAGAATCTGAGTGGATAAGCATCCACGCCAATGAAAATAAAATTCTAGTGGGATGTGTATACAGAGCTCCTAACAGATCTAAAACGACTGATGCGGTTATCGGAGGAATACTAGGGCATGTGTCTACGCTGGAATTCAACTGAAAACCAGTTTGTGGCGATTTCAACCTTCCGGAGTGAAGTGGGATACCTGCACTGGACCGAGAACCCACAAGGAGCTCCTAGAAGCTATAAATGTAGGAGGATGGAAGCAGTGAGTACACCTCCCAACACGACATAACAATATTCTCGACTAAGTCCAAACAGAACGAAATGTGCGTTGTGTATTCGACTATTAGCCGCTATCAACCAAATTAACATCATGTAAACCTTCAGATATCGTCAAAGTATCGGTGATAGAAGCCAACAGGTCAACAGATATCAAGCATTCCGGTGAATTGTCTAACCCTATTTCTTAGCAAACAATAGAAAAAAAGAAACTTACTGATTTCATTATCTATTTCCACCATAAGATTGTTAGCTTCAACAATACACTGATATTCGGGATCAGCTTCAACAGGCCCATGTATTCGATCACTTTTCTTTTGATTAGCAAAATAATCAAGATCTGACATGACTTTGGTTAGCTGAAATGAAAACAAAAAATTGTAGTGAAAGATATTAGGAGGCATGAAGTTGCGCTTTTATCTAACTGAAACAAGGTGAACACATTTATGCAGGATACTATTTAATATCATATTTCCTCCTATTCAACGTGCAAATATTAAATATGTAGCAGAGTTACTCCCACTTCTTGTACGAATCTTTGTCTAAATATAACGTATCGAGTTAATATTGGTTAGATATGATGGTTTCTTGCATACATGTACTGCATAGGCGATGTTAGGCAAGTTGCAAACAAAACACTTTGCAGTGCAATAGAGTATAAGTGAACAAAGACATTTCACTTAAGAAGGAAATGATGGAGATTATTTTCCGACTAAATCTTTTCAATTGTATGTTTGCATGAATTTAATTGATTTTGGTCTTGATCCCGAATTGACTTCAGTTAGAGAACCGTTGAAAACCAAGCAGAACTGGACAGCTGCCGTTTCGTCTTCTTTCAGGACCACCCCTAATCATTTGCGCACCCATAACCCCATTGCAGATCGAACCCAAAACACCTTCAGGTCATACCATATCGCGAATTGGCACAAGTCACAATTCATGGGCTATTGGATTCCGTCCCAGTGAATGAACAGTATTCGAGTTCACCTTTTAACCCTGGGTGAGTACTGCCAAAGATTCCCGAACAAGGAAGAAACACCTGTCCACAGTACTCCTTGGTTTGCAGTGGCTCTCCAATTGAAGTCAACTAGGGATCAAAACTCTAATTCTTTTCAATATTTAAAGAGAGCAAAGAATGGGTAGGTCTGTAATAAAATGTGGTATCAGTCTCTGAGGTCACTGATGGTCGTTCTGAACCAAACAATCAAATGCCAGGGTCACATAGATGTACTCACACTTTGAGTTGACTATTACTCATGCTATATTCCTCTGTTATTCCTGCCTGACTGGTTGAGTTTCAACAGAAATGTTGCTTCTCAGTATACCACATTTCATATAGCACACTAAGGAAGGGGAGACTGAAAACGGGAGAGAGCATAGTAACATAGAAAAACAGGAGGGTTTAAAGGATGTGCTAGAATACATATGCTCTAATGAGAACGATTTTCAGCCATATCATCAATAGTTTTCAGACACTGGTACTTAAAATCCTGAGGACCCCAACCAGGCTGTCTTCATTTCCTCCAACTGTCATAGACTTCGTGCACTAATGCTTGTTTTTGGTTTGAACGCCCCCAAACTCTTTTCCGACCCAACCTCGTGTCAGCTGACGTTGCTCGATGAGGAAGGTAGTAGCTTGGCGTGTGCAACACGTGCCCCAGTCATCTCAATCGAAGTAACTTAACAACTTTATCAATTGACTCACCCTCCTTACTTAACAGTCCACACCTAACCTCGATATTACTCACCAAATTATACCATCTATTAGAGGAGATAGAACGTAAATATCTGTTATTCCTATTGTCTTTTGTAGTATTTCATAGCCTTTGGTTATATAATTTTTATTTCTTGGTCATATTAATTACCATTCCTTTGATACGCAGATATAGGATGTGAAAGCTGAGACAAGATTTCCAGGTTTTATGTTGATAATGCTTATTTTCAAGTACTGGTTTTGCAGGGATTTTGTTTCATTGGATGGATGATTTCATCATCAGCTGACATCAGTTAGAGAACCACTGGAAAACCTGGGAGTACTGGACAGCTGTTTTCTCCCAGCTTGGGACTCTTCACAGCGCGCACCCACCGGGGTTGGAATCCAGGACCTTCTGGTTACAGTTGGGTAAAACAGGTTGAAGATGAGGCACTGCGAAATGGTCGCGCTATGTCGTGAATTGGCAGAAGTTAGAATTCATGGGCCATTGGATTGGGTCCCAGTAGCTCAATGGTCTACGAGCTCGCCTTGTGGCCGGGAAGTCCTGGGTTCGAACCCCGGTGGGTGCGTGCTGTGAAGAGTCCCAAACTGGGACAAAACAGCTATCCAGTACTCCCAGGTTTTCCGGTGGTTCTCTAACTGATGCCAGCTCATGATAATGCTTATCTTCATCTATGAGTCTGGATGAATCCGTACACTAACACTGATTCTAAAACATGGCACAAAGAAACTAAACTCTAATTCGCAGCACCACATGGATTTCAACCACAAACACAATTTGTCCATAAACCTTTCAGTCTTAATCCGACCACTAACAAGCCTCTTTAAATGTACTAAAAACTCACTATATATAGAAGTATAATTTAACACGATCAATTTGGAATCTCAGCACGACTGAAAAGTAATATATGAGGCAGTTAAGAATTAGTCTCACGATAGCTGCAACCTTGACGTGATGATCAGACTTGCAAATCACAATGATCCGAGTTACACTAGTTGGAACGAATATTCTTACAGGTCCCACCATACTGGAAATATCAATGGATGGTGGTTGAAAAGGGGCAGTTACCATCACGGTGTAAGTCACTGATATTAAGTTGAGGCTCTAAATGCACAGTTCTACTGTTGGCGAATAGGTGTGTAACAGCAGTAAGGTGTTTCCTTCCGGCAACTAGCAAGCCAACTATGCTACGTCTCCGTTCTGAGGAAGGAGAGATTACGAAATGACGACCCGAAAAATTATACATTTCAACTTAACCTAAGGCAGTTTATAACCGACAGGTAGGATCTTAATATGGACATAACTCCAAGAACCCCTTCAAACAAGCCGCGTATGACTGGCTTTAAGCAGCTGTCCACTGGGCTCTGCGACCACGCAACACTAATGCTCTTTCTGTTCCAGTTGTTTTAAGAATAAATTAGCTTCCACAGTGGTGGGAAGTGATAATTGCATAGAAAGCTCAGGGGTTGGGCGTCATTCACTCATTATATATCTCGTATTACTTCAGCTCTTGTGTCATTCTATTTAGTTCTGTAAAGTTAGCTCACCTGCAGTCCTTTTTATTCAAAGTTCTAGACAATTTACAAGTTATTGTGATATGAATACTGTCAATGGAGTTGAAGATTGAACGATCAATTCATGGTTGTTTGCTCAAAATCAACTTCCCCAATTTTCGCGGAGGCATCAATACGACAGTCATCGTCTCATCGGTCGCTGTTCAGAAAGAAGAGTGAAACATCGTCAGAAGTAATCTCGTGATTTATTATTGTAATATTTGTTTTCAGACCTTAGTTCGTTTATTCCTTTTATATGTTGGTGTAACAATAAAGAAATAACAAGCGGCAGATCGGTGTTTTGGTTTTTGCGTCCGTTATAACTAAGCGTTTCTGAAAAACTTCAAGGAACAGCGTGGGCCCGAGCGTAGCGAGAGCTGGGCATTAACGGTTTATGAGACGTGATTGACAGTTTCTGACGATAGAAACAGATCTGGCGGATTCAAACAGTTGGTGAAAGTTTGGATAGTCGCCGTTCATTTTTCCTGGTGCCGGTCAAGTCCTCTTTGAACAAGCAATATCTGGAACTTTTTGGAATTGGGTCAAGTTCAACAATGCCTGGGTCAAAGAAGGGACAGAGTGTCTTGGATGCAAACAGGAAAGTAAGTCATGGTGACTTGTCTGTTAATTGTAACGATGTGTCTGATGTTAAGCATGACATGGTTGATGTTACTGTTTCGCCGTTCAGGGATAATAGGAACATCAAACTCCCTAAGTTTGAACCACGGTGTTTTGATGGAAACCCGGCCGATTATTTACAGTTTGTTAAGGAGTTTGAGATCATGCTGAGTAGTTTTTTATTAAGTGATGAATTGAAATTGATGTATTTGATGAGGTATTGCACTGGAGATGCTTCAAGAGCTATACAGTGCTGTAAGCTCATGCCCCCTAATGAGGGATACGCTGAGGCTATGAGCATATTACGTCAAAGGTTTGGAAGGCCTTCGATGATTGTAAGGAACGTATACGAAGCTGTCAAGGGTAATGGCAGTCAACTTCAAGATGACTCCAAGGCACTCACTGAGTTTTTAGACAATCTTATGACTTACAAGAATACCTTGATTTCTATGAATTTCATGAGTGACCTCAACTCCAGCTCAGTCCTAGAGGTAATTGCAAGACGCCTACCTACGCGGCTGCAAAGGAAATGGGTAAAAATAAGCTCTCGTATAGAGGAGGAGGGTATCGAGCCAAGGTTCGATGATATTCTTAGACTGGTGAAGGACAGTGTCAACCAGGCGATGGGCAAATTCGCCAGCATTTTGCATTCTAAGGTAGAACCTAAGGAACCAGTGAATATAAGGAAGGCATTTGTGGTGAAGTCTCAAGACACAACGAGAAAGGATGAGTGTATTGTCTGCCATAACATGCATCAATTGAGTGATTGTAATCGCTTTATCGCTATGTCACCCGTAGAAAGGTTAAAAATGGCAAAGCAGAAGCGGCTGTGTTTCAGTTGTTTAAAGATTGGGCATACAAAGTGGAATTGTAAGGCGACAAATAAAGGAAGTAGTGGTTTAACGGATATGCACCCACTTCTGAGAACAGTGAACGAACCTGGGAGTTCGGTTAATTGTAATAGTATCTCTAGACCCCTTGACATCCCACAAGTTTTCTTAGGGGTATTACCAGTTAAGGTGAAAGGACCGAAATCTTCAGTAGAGACTTATGCATTGTTGGATAATGGTTCAGACGTTACATTGATAGATGCTGAACTGGCTGGTTGCTTGGGTATTAAAGGCCCAAAGCAACCCTTGGTTGTAAATACTTTCAATTCTGCGAAAACAGTAGTATGTGAGCGAGTGTCATTTCAGTTAGAATCCTTGGCTACTGGGGAGACCGTGGAAGTGGATACTGCTTACACTACCTCCAGTATGAAACTTGGCGAAGCTATAGTACCTAGTCGTGAAACGGTTGTCGGTAAGCCGTACCTGTGTGACATACCTCTTCCAACATTGCAAGATGGAAGAGTGAGAGTACTCATTGGATGTAGTGTGCCAGAAGTCACAAGGTATTAGAAGAGAGATTTGGAGGTAGAGATGATCTGTTTGCGACAAAAACACCACTGGGATGGACAGTGAGAGGACCTATACCCATAGTCCACATATCATCATTAGTTACAAACGATGGGGACAAACTAGAAACTATGATTAAAAATATGTATGACAAGGAGTTTTGTGACTGCGGTGTCCCAGGGAAAGGTCGTTCTGTAGAAGACTTGAAAGCAGTTAAAATAGCCGAGGACTCTTGTAAATACGAAAACGGGCGTTTCAGCGTTGGCCTACCATGGAGATTCAAAGATAGACAGTTGATTTGTAATAGGAAAGTTGCTCTTAAGAGACTAATGGGTTTACAGAAGAAATTCCTGTCAGATGCAGAACTCTGGTCCAAATATAAGGAAGTCGTCGATAAACATATAGTGAAGGGTTACGTTGAAAGACTAGTTGATCAAAGTGAGCCAGGGAAGTGGTATTTGCCCCATCATCCCGTCTTTAACCCGAGGAAGCCAGGTAAACTCCGTGTGGTGTTTGATTGTTCTGCGAAACACGAAGGAGTCTCTTTAAATGATAATCTGTATAGTGGCCCAGATTGCGTGAGCTCATTAGTGGGACTGCTATTGAGATTCAGAAAGTTTACAGTTGCTGTCGCGGCGGATATTGAGGAAATGTTCCTTCAGGTGAAGGTGCCAGAGAGTGACAGAGATCACTTGAGGTTTTTGTGGTTTGATGACGGTCCTTGTGGTAAGGTGTCAGAATATAGGATGACAGTGCATCCATTTGGTGCCACATCCTCCCCATTTTGTGCTAATTTTGCTCTACGAAAGGCAGTGTCCACATTTGGTTCTAATGATTTGCTGGACGTCATAGATTGTTGCTTCTACGTGGATGATTGTTTAGCCTCCTTCGATGATGATAAGTCTGCAGTTAGATTTGCAACAAGCATCACTGAAGTGTTAGCTAAGGCCGGCTTTCGTCTAACTAAGTGGGTCTCGAACAGCCTAGACGTTTTGAAGCATATAGATCCAGAAGACAGAGCACCTACCGTACGAGATTTGCCTGTTGATACTCTACCAGTTGAACGCACATTAGGTATGCGATGGGATGTGAACTCTGATACCTTTGGATTTAGTGTTGGTGATATTGATAAGCCAGTTACTCGGAGAGGTGTGCTCTCTGTGTTGTCGTCCGTGTTTGACCCACTTGGATTAGTAGCACCTTATCTACTTCCGGCTAGGAGGTTATTTCAAGAGACATGCAGGAAAGGGTTACAGTGGGATGAACCATTAAGTGAGAGGCAGAGAGAAGAGTGGAAGGGGTGGGTTAACAGTTTAAGAATGCTGAATCTACATTCCGTCTCACGTCCACTTAAGCCGTCGAGAAATCATGATATAATTGACTTCCATGTTTTTTCTGATGCCTCTGAGGTTGGATTTGGTGCAGCCGTATACATCAGAACCACCTTAATGAATGATATAGATGTTAGCCTGGTGATGGGTAAATCCAGAGTTGCACCTCTAAAGACGGTTTCGATTCCGAGATTAGAACTTAATGCCGCCTTACTAGCTGCGCAGTTATTCACAACAGTGTGTAAAGAGTTGGATTACCCCAAGCATCCCGTAACGTTTTGGACTGATTCGATGTCTGTGATATATTATATACGCAACGAGTCAGCAAGATATGCATGTTTTGTAGCTAACAGAGTATCTCAAATTCGTGAACTAACCACTGTTGAGCAGTGGAGGTACGTACCGTCTGGAAAAAATCCAGCTGATCTAGCATCGCGAGGAGTTATTGATATGAATGTTGTTAAAAATAAGTGGTGGAAAGGTCCAGAGTTCTTGCTAAGGGCTGATAGTATGTGGCCTCGTAGAGAAGATGAACCACCGATAAACGAGTGTGCCTTGGAGTTGAAGACAAGTGTCAGTTTAACATCTACTCAAGAAAGACATTCAGGTTTACATCCACTTTTTAAATATTATTCTTCTTGGTACAAACTACTGAAAGCGGTTGCGTGGTTGACACGATATGTTACGTATTTAAAGGTCATGCATCTTGCGGGATACGAAAATATGAATGTGGGGCCTTTGAGAGTCGAAGATATTAGAAATGCAGAGTTAACGATTTTGAGGGCTGCTCAGTGGGAAGCGTGGGGTGAGATTACCAAGGAGGATAGTCCCGATTTCGCAGATTTCAAGGTGCGGTTAGATAGATTATCTCCGATAGTTTCCGAAGGGATCGCTAGAGTTGGTGGACGTCTACAAATGTTAGAATCGTCATATGAGACCCGTCATCCGGCTTTATTACCTTGCTACCATCCAGTCACTGATCTCATTATAAGACACTACCATGTTCTTGAAGGTCATTTGGGTACTTCGCAAGTACTATCAAGTATTCGATGTAAGTTCTGGATAGTGAAGGGAGGTACTGCTGTCCGTAAAATAATTGATAAGTGCATGGAATGTAAACTCCGAAATGCTCGTCCAGTACAGCAGATAATGGCACCACTGCCAGCGTGGCAAGCTTCTGAAGGGAATTATCCATTTGAGTACGTTGGGGTGGATTTGTTCGGACCTTTTGTAGTGAAGAGAGGCAGAACCCTATGTAAAAGATATGGCTGTTTATTCACCTGTTTGAAAATGAGAGCTGTGCATATTGAGATGGTTCATTCTCTAACTACTGATTCATTCGTGCTAGCATTACATAGATTTATAAATCGCCGGGGTGTACCGAAGATGATGTTCAGCGACAGAGGGACTAATTTTGTTGGCTGTCACGCCGAGCTTAAAGAATACTTCGAAGGTCCTCAAACGAGAGTTCAGGAAGAGTTACTGAAAAGGAACATCGAGTGGCACTTCAACCCACCACATGCCAGCCATAGAGGTGGGCTATGGGAAAGACTTATAGGAATTATCAAGCGTATTTTAAGCTCCATAATTAAAAACCAGAGTTTGAATGACGAAACGCTGGAGACATTTTTTTGTGAAGCTGAACGAATATTAAATGACCGGCCGTTATCACCTGTGAGGGACGACGTCAAGGATTTTGATGTGTTAACCCCAAATAAATTATTGTTATTGAGAGGCAACCCTGGCATAGAGGACGCAAGCGGGGAAGGAATACCTACGATTAAAAGATGGAAACAAGCCAGGCACATGAAAGATATATTTTGGAAAAGATGGTTTAAGGAGTATGTTCTAACATTGCAGACCAGGGACAAGTGGAAAAAGTTGTGCCGAAACTTAAAGGTTGGTGACATAGTATTAGTAGCAGATAAATGTGCCACAGGTAGGTGGCCTTTGGGAGTGGTAGTAAGGCTGATCTGTAGTGGTGATGGATTGGTGAGGACGGTTGAGGTGAGAACTAGTTGTGGCATGTTGGTGCGAGATATCAGAAAACTGTGTCTCCTGGAAGGTGCTGAGAGTAGAGAGTCGGAGGATGAAACAATAGATGATTTTCCAACCTAGAGCGTCAACCTGAGAAGGGTTGTAGGCGTACTGCTGTAAGTCCTACAATTCTTCAAAGGGTAGCGCATCAATGAGCAGTCTAATGTGCTCGGTGTGTGATTTTGTACATATGTTCATATTGTATATACTGAATTGATATCATCTGTCATCTAGCTGTTGGTAATTCTGTTTGTGTCCGGACATTCCACAACTTACAATGGTCAACCTGTGAAGGTTTGTAGGCGTACTGGTGTAAGTCCTGCAATTCTTCAAGGATATTCCATCAAGACATGAAATGCGAGTTTGTGTGTACTGTTTGTATATACGTGTGGTGTGTCATATCAATTGGTGGTGTTTTGGATTCATTGTGTTTACTCGTTGTTTTCGTACCTTGTTGTTATTGCATAATTTTGTTAAAATTTTCGTCGTGATTACTTCTGAAGTTGTTTCGAGTCTTCTACATCCGTGAATGAATTGATTGATGTTAAGGACAGCAGATGGGTCGTATACGCCGGGGCTAAAAGGCTATTGCTGAGAATGAAATGCACACGGAGATAATTGTTAGCTGCGGTCCGACACGCCGGGGAGAAAGAGTGTAAACGACTGAGGCTCGCATGCGTCACCGCTACTAGAACTGAGGCAGAATGAGTGACAAGCGATTTCAGTGGTAATTGGTAGTGAGTAGATAAGAGGATGTGCGTAGAGTATCGTGAGGTGGTGCTATGGTCACATTGCATTCTGCAAGAGTCATTCTAGCAAGTGGCGATTGTGTTGCAAGATGTCAAGAGGAGGTCTCTGTCTGGAGGCGCAGGTCGTCATTGATGTGTGAGATTGTGCTGTGGGTATGCTTGTGGTGTGTTGGCTTTTCTGTTTGTTTTCCATTTCAGCTCTGTCCGTGTGACCCAGGTTCTCGCAATGGCATCCAAGTCAACGTGCATTGGTCGTGAAGGAAAAAAGGGTTGGATCCCTTTTTTGCCGGGGAGTGTCAATGGAGTTGAAGATTGAACGATCAATTCTTGGTTGTTTGCTCAAAATCAACTTCCCCAATTTTCGCGGAGGCATCAATACGACAGTCATCGTCTCATCGGTCGCTGTTCAGAAAGAAGAGTGAAACATCGTCAGAAGTAATCTCGTGATTTATTATTGTAATATTTGTTTTCAGACCTTAGTTCGTTTATTCCTTTTATATGTTGGTGTAACAATAAAGAAATAACAAGCGGCAGATCGGTGTTTTGGTTTTTGCGTCCGTTATTACTAAGCGTTTCTGAAAACTTCAAGGAACAGCGTGGGCCCGAGCGTAGCGAGAGCTGGGCATTAACGGTTTATGAGACGTGATTGACAAATACTATGGAGATAGTTTTACATAGAATGAAATTATGAGAAATAAACTTTTAAGACCCATCTAGTAAAGTAAAGCCCAATAAAATGGATTATAAACAATGGAGAAACACACAATTATCTAAGCACAAGAGTCTAATCAAGTTCTATAAAAGCTCACCTTATCACTATTTCTCAATTTTGCATAAGCACTGATTGGAGCATCAGCAAATGAAGTTGCTTTAAATGCACTTTTAACTCCCGAACTGGTTCCATCTGACAGAAAATCATCCAACTTGTTTACACTTGATAAAGTAACATCTTCTAGTTCATGAAGACTTGAGTCAGCAATTAATTCCTCAGATGTCTCTGCTCCTTCAAGATCAGCCAAAAGTTCATCAGCTAACGACATTTGTTACACTAACTAGAAGAAAATAAAATGTGATGTGATAACCTGGAATTCGATAAAATAAAAAGTAAGAAATGATGAGAGTAATAAACAGACTGACAAACTGAAATTAAATGAAATCAATTAATCCCAATTTCTAAAATTAGCAATAGTAAAAATAGGCATATTAACATACCATGATAAAATATGGTATGATGACTAAACAAAACATAGACTAGGATGAATAAATGTGATAAATTAAAAAGACAAACTATTCATGTCTAATGTCACACAAACCCGAAGACTGACAGATGCAAGCCAACAAGGTGGGAGGAGTAGCGGCGAGGACATGACTTCAAATGAACCTGGAGAAGACAGAGGTGATGAAGATACCTAACCGACAACAACAACAGGAACCAATCACCAACAACGGAAGAAATCTAAAGGAAGTTGCCCCTCAAATAAAGTATAATTATATTTCAATAGTTTACGCACAATGATAAGTTTTGATATTGGTAATATTTCGAGCAAAATTACTGCCCGTGTTCACACCACTGTTGGAATTGTTTTATGAAATATTATCAATTTCAAAATTGATATGATTATGAACAATAAATTGTGTTCGAAACGTCATCCAGTAAATAACACTATTTCACTGTGTGATACATCTAAGAGATCGGCTACGTCGGAAGAATGAGTGTCTACATTCATTTAGAACTGGGGTTTCACAAGCAAACGTAGGCCGACTCAACCACTTTTGAAGGTTTCATCCTTAGCGTCTCAGCTTTTTATCGCCTCAGAAAATATTGAAGTCCTATTTTTTGGGGGGGATCATTCTACTTACCATAAATGTTTAGGGACTGCTTACTACATAGGCCTAACAAGTTGAAAGGTATTACATATTGCTGATGCCTACTGAACTTTTGTCATCTGTCCGTTCACACTTGCTACCAAAGCGCACATACGTACGTCTATCGCTTTTTACTAATTCAGAGGCTCGTGGGATTACTTTCCACGTAGTAACCAGTGTGGATAAAGCTAAGGGAAATCCAATGTCATTTACCTATCACTGGCTGCAAGAAGTGTGGTACTAGTACTAGCAGTTCACCATCAACTACTCAAAGATTTTACTTATACAAAATACTCGGTTTAAAAGATACTCCTCCATTTGTATATTTACAAGGGGATTCATTGATGTAGAGGGTTAACTTTCGAACCAGTGTTTGAAATCGAAGCTTGTATTATTTCACTTTACCTTAATTGGGAAACACAAAACATGTATAATAAAACCACTGTATTTTCTAGGTCGAATGTAGCTATACCGGTGTATTCACTATCTCTTAAAGTCATCACTGAGATACAGTCCCTGAATGTGCTCGAATCGTGGAAGCCGTATCATATGATTTTATTGACCTACACAGTCATTACCCGTATCCAGGACTATTAGAAGAATAACAGAGACATTACCAACGCTAATGAATTAGGAAACACAATCGACTAACAAGTGAAATGTGGTATTTTATACTCTGAACTTTCTGTTGTTGAATTATGGAAGCCTTCAAAATCCATTTATACTGAAGAGCATACGACCTTTAATACCTTTTTTATTATAGCTTGGTTCCGTACAGTATATTTGTCAGAAGTATGGGATTTTCAGCATGTGATATCGGTAGCCCAAATTTTACAGACCGACCAATTGATATCGGCTGTGCGTCGGTAGGGGCTTCGAATCCCGAACCATTTGCATGGTCGGCGAGAGTCCTAACTGCTGTAGCCCCGATGCTGAAAAATTAGGGCTTTCAACTTCTAAAACGCATCACAACAGATAAGCTTATATATATATATGAACAAAAATAGTTAGAGCGAACAATAGTTTTCAACAAATTCTGCTTCAGGTTTTACAATTATAAATTCATTAATTTAAGCACACAACCACCAGTAAAGGCAAATTTGAATGATATCAGAAATGTGTTGTGGAACAAGCGTAAAACCTGAGCAGGGGCTCTCAGTTATCTAAAGTGTTCCTGATAATATACTTGGAGTTGCTCGACTACGTCTTCTATCATTAGCTAGAGCGGTAGTAATCAATGCCACAACACCTGGTCTCTGAATACAGAGGTATGTCCAACCGCCTTGTTTACTTTGGCCTACAATAAGGTCAGCAAATCCTCCATAAACGTTCGCACGTTAAATTTCCATCCCATTTATTTTTCTTTTCCCTACTCTTTTCCTTTGTTTCATTGACAAAAACTTTATGAGGCTTCTGATTATGTCTGTTACCTAAGGCTTATGGAAAGCTTTTTAAACTTGTTATTGTGTTTACTCAATTTTGTTGAATTCACTTCATTAAATAATACTTTTGTGTTTACGCCACATCATCATTATTACTTCATTATTATTATTATTGTTGTTATTTGTCACCCTTGAACTTACATGTACTCCGTCCCATTTGTTGGTTTATTTTCTGTAGTATTCATATTGTCTCATACACCACTGATTACACTCACCCTTAAAACCTGTAATTTTGTTGACTATATATATATATAGTTATCTTATCTCATGTTCTCATTGAACATATAATAATAATAATAATAATAATAATAATGTATATTCTCATATAAACATATAAATTTACATGAAAATGCATGCCATTTTTACAGGCACGATCAAGTATGATATAATATCAAATCGTAGATTGTCTACAAGTTAATAATGTTTCAACAGTTAAATATTTGATATATATATAAATACACATTGTCTGAACTAGGCTGTATAGTTATTGAATTGTACAATTGTCCTCCAGGTGGAGCGGGAGAATCGACTTCGTTTCGTTTTCATCCCGTGGTTGTAGGCATACGATAACCAACCAAAATTGAGGTAAGTACAACGTTTACAAGGGATTGAAGGCTGTTTTAGAAAAGTAAAATTGCTGAGGTGAATCATTAAATTGTAATGAAATAGGTAAGTGCAAGTATCATTAATAAATGCATTAATAAAATAAACTCCCTAGGCTGACAACGTTCATTTGCAATGTATAATGCTACACGTATACCTCGTACTATCATGATGTCCACTTTTGGTTTTAATACATTTATCCTCAGTTGTGCCAGTTGTTTTTGTTTTATACCTTTTTGTGCATTTAATGTACAAACGTACCCTTCAGAGAGTAGGAATATAATAAGTCATAAAGAGCTGTAAAATGTTAGGTTTAATGGGATATAATGAGGATCAAGTAAAGACGTTATTGGAAAATGAATGAGATAAGACATTGTGAAGTGGTATTTAAAGATCAGTCAATGGACAGCAAGTTAGTTTATAAGATGCCCCATAAAACTGTGCACATCCCACATGGTCGCATCTCAACAATAGGCTGGGCGAATAGTATATATTTAGAGGTAGAAGCATGATCTGTCAAGGCGTTCATTATTATCTTTTTCAAGATAAAGATCTAAGCCCTCATAAAAATCAGAAATATCTCGAGCCTTTAATTTGTGTATTGCTGTTCCTGCAGAATGGGACGATTCACCTTAGTGACCCCCACAATATCTACTGATCAGCTAACATGCATATTCAAAAATGGACTATTGTTCCACCCCATCTTATACTATTTCCACAGTACATTTCTGATATGATTCTAAATTGCCAGTACTGGCTATTGTATGCTTAAATTGATAAATTTATAATTATAAAGTCTGGAGTTTATTATTTTTTCCTTGCGTTCCGAGTGGAACATAAGGCTTGCAAAAAACACATCTCCACCGTGATCTATTTTTTGCCGTCGCTTCCCATTTGGATTTCACTCGAGCGGCGGCCTGGCGTGCGATGTCATTCGACGGTCTCCTCAGTGTATGTCAATCCACCTACATTTTCTCCTACATATTTGTTGAGCAACCAGCTATTGGCTGGGTTTTCTTTCCATAGTTTCTTGTTGCTTATTCTTTCTGTCACATCAAGAATTTATTCAAAAAACTGTCCGCTCTAATTTTATGCATATATATAAAATTATATTGTACTACGTGGAAGCTGTAACTTCACACTATTTTATTACATGAGAGAACCACTAGACTATATACCCAAGTAAAAAAATTTCTGTCAACTCAGTGCGAAATTCTGGGGATATGCAACCCTTTCCCAAACCCTAGCAATGAACCAAAATACTCCGAAATCGCCCCAGATTGTTTTTATTTGGGTATAATTACCGACAGTAAATCATATTCGTAATACGATCCAATAAATAGTTTTCTTTCTTTCCGTCTATGTAGTACAGTACTGATATGGAATTGACTTTATTTGGTTTATTTGGGCTATACGCTGACTCCGACTCTAAAACTTATGTGAATAAGTTAACATGAGTTTCAGAATTATTGCCAGTGAAAGCACGATCAAGTCGCATGCCTTTCAATATTTTCAAACTTTATATTTCTAATCATCACAAGATGACTCATCGTTATACGATCTGCGAACATTAATTTACCGTTTGTAGAGGAATAACTGAATAAAACCAACAATTCTTGCTTGATAAATAAATAATTTATCTAGCATCTATATCTTAGTGATAAACAATTGTTAACATGATCTAATAATTGCAATGACTTACGACTTACAGATTATAAGGTAACAGAAATGCAACGTACCGCAGCCTTCAAAATACCCACCACGAACTACCTTTCACAAGTCGGAGATTAAGTGGCTTATGGTAATGTTAGGCGAAAAACATGTGTGTTTGAACTCTATGCCAGTGGAGTTTCAGTTCAGCCACATGAAAAACATGGATTGGTGTCCCAAGACTTTGGGATGAACGACTAACTTGACTAATTCAGAGAAGAAATATACATTCCTTTTCAATCAGTTTCGCATCATGAGCTTTAGACTAATTTATGTTTTTGTGTCAAAATCGTAGAAACTGTGTGGCCATTTTAGAATTATAATTTTGTGGTATTGGGGGGAGAAGGGAAAAAAGACTAGAAACAAGATATCCAAGTTCAGGAGGAAAGATGGATAAATAATAATAATTTATATTTTCA